GTTGTGCACGGTCCTTTGCAGTTACACCTTTTCCTCTCGACTGAAAGCTTTCTTAATAGTTGCGTGAAGTGAAACAAGTCTTCAAGCCATGATGATGTGTCTACGGTGCATCTAAGAAACAAAACAAACACTTTTAAAACAAAAATAATTTTCAGAATATTGGACATCAATTGGTCATCTTAAACAAATTATGCTAAAACAAAAGGAGCATAAATTCTATCCTCTTAAAAGTAACACACATTTCGTACTTCAAGTCAATTTCAACAATATAACAGTATCATAATAGCTTTATCCTATTTAAGCACCACATGTGCTTTTATCTTAAGACGACTTTAAGAGCGTGACAATGGTACCACTTCCAAAACATTGACAAAGTAGGTCAGCTTTGTTGATATTTGACATTTACAACCTGATGAACTCATACCTGAAAAGGATAATGACAAACCATTGTTAATATTGAAAAAACCCAGACTTCACTTCTCCATAGAGAATATGAAAACATCCTTCGGTGACCGATTTATCGATGCTCAGGATTATACAAATTTTCGGGAAATCTCTTTTTGGAAACGTTCTTTTAAGGTTTATCAAAAGTTAGGTTAAGCACTGTAGACTCGAACTTTAAATCGTCTTATAAACAACGAAAAGCGGGTAACTGGTGTAGCGATTTTTGCAGAAAATGTAATGGGTACGAGTACCAGTTATCGTTACTTATGAGTCCAACCACTGAATAATTGAAATGTTTACTAAATCTGAATATAATTGTAAGATATTGCTAAGTAATGGTATGGATCGAATGGGGCATTTTCAAATGACTCTCAATAAACATATCGTCATTCCGTCCATAAATCCCAATGTTCTTAAATTTTCTTTTCGCTAAATCTGAACTGCATGATCATTAATGTATGTCGGTTCAAATCAACTTGGCAAATAACACTGTATTGAAAAGGATCATATAAGTTGATTTTCAATTTTATAACCTTTTCTAATTCTTATGAAAGATTTGTGTACTAAAGCAAGATTTGATATTACGTCTCAAGTTGTAAGTTTTCTAAAATCGAGGAAGGCATGTCCACGCATATCTTCCACATAGATATTTAAAAATGTTTCTTCCACGACTGAAGTGTTCAAAAGAAGAAAAACTCTGTATTCTCTAGTTTTAAGGTGGTACCAAACACCTTGACTAAAATTAATTTGGCTCGTTTAATTTTCATAAAATTTTGACAAAATATTTACTTTGACCCTTTGATAAAAATATAAAAATTTCAAAAAACTTGAACCACACACTTTATCGGAAAAATTTCATTGGGTATTTAGCAGTTTGGCAAACACTAATTTTAATCATTGAGAAGCTTAATGTTTCTTTAACAATAGAACGTGATGAAAACGTTCAGCTGATTTTTACAGAGTTATCTCCCGGTAGTGTTATTTACCACCTTAATCAGATCAAACTATACAAAGTGTTTAAAAACTAATAATAAAAGTATTAGTCTGAAGACGAAAGCAGTTTGCCGTTTCTATTAGTGTTGTCATCGGTAAACGGCAGGGCCGAATGTCAAATTTCAAACTGACGTTAACTTGTTTATCGAAAATCAAAATTCAAAAAGAAATAGAAAAAAAAAAAAAACAGTAAACAGATTGAAGATCAGTAAATATCTGCAATATAAAAACAGAAGAATTCGGTCTATAAAATTACCTTCCTCAAATAATTTGACTCCGGATTTACAAAATATGTAAAACCTTTACTAAATTCTTCCATAGATACAAAGATTTGGTTTGGAAGTTTGGCTGTACCTGTAGAAAACTTATTTCAAACGGAATAGCATCCTAATTTTTACGGAGATGTTGTTGAGGGAGCCGGGAAAATTAGATACGATCAGGGTAAACTTATCGGTCCTTTAAATAAACTTATTCTAAAAGGTTACCAATTTAAAACTGTAATTAATTTAGATCTTTGAATATTGTGTTTATTGGTATAAATATTGATTTTATTATCAGTAAATTGAAATCAATCTAAATATTATTTTTGTATATACATATGCACATTCATGGCTCTACAATCTGTCGATACCTGTATTTTGGCATTCCACAAGATCATGTATTTCTCTGACTGTTAATGACGTCTTTACACTAAATCCATTGCATGTTGGTTGTGTACTAATTGATATTTTAGTGTTAGGTGCATGATTTATTTTATTAGTTGTTAAGTTTGATTCCACTCCACTGATTTTTGACGAAATTACTGGCATATAGTTTTACCTTTATCCGTCATTTCGTCATTCTGTCATTCCGCAACGAACAGTTATCCTGCGGACTTTTTTCTAAACGCATTCACATATTGAGCTGATTTTTAGTTTGTGAGTCAACTACGATGATTTACAGATTGAGTTTACGTTTGGTTCGGCTGCGCTGATTTGTGCCGAAATTACGGGATTTGGAAAATTTCGTGAAAATATTAGTTTTACGGACTTTCATTCTCAAATTTCCACTCCTAAAAATGGATTCAACCTTATATAAAAAATTCCAGGAAGTGGGAGGTTAAATGTATTTTGTAATAGTTCAATTATGATTCTCCTTGGAAAATGCTTGTGTAAAAATCATGAATATAACGATCCATTTCTAACATGATGCTGCGAGTTTTTATTTTGATATAAATATTGGGTATATTATCATAAAAAGCAAATATATTCACGTCACAATGCCCCATAACGTGGGCAGTTTATCGAAATTAAAAAAAAAACTCGTCTTTTATACTATATGTCAATCTTTACTTTTTCAATTAAGTGCATTTGTTATATTATATATGGCAATCTAACTTTGTAATCAGACAAGTAACATTAGTTTCCAGAAATACAAAAAAATACCACAACATTTACATCAACATAATTAAGAATTCATTTTTTAAAATTTTTTTCAGACTGTAGGAGGATTTTGTTTATATTGTCCTTCACACTCCATTCATATATATCAACATTATATGAGCCATCTGTCAACCAAATCAATATCAATGTCATTTCAATGTAACTCCATAAATTATCAATTTATTGGATGTTGGTTGTGTACTAATTGTTATTTTAGTGTTAGGTGCATGATTTATCTTATTAGTTGTTAATTTTGATTCCACTCCACTGATTTTTGATGGCGGACTTTTTTCTAAACGCATTCACAAATTAGCTGATTTTTAGCTTGTGAGTCAACTATATTATGTGTTACAGATCGAGTTTACGTTTGGTTCTACTCCGCTGATTTTTGCCCAAATTACGGGCTTTGGACTTTGAAAATTTTGTGAAAATAACAGTTATACAGATTTTTTTTCTAAACGCCTTCGCATATTGAGCTGATTTTTAGTATGTGAGTCTTCTATGATGAGTTACAGATCAAGATTAAGTTTGATTCCTCTCAACCGATTTTTGTCGAAATTACTGGCTTAGAACTTTGAAAATTCGTGAAAATAACAGTTATACGAACTTTTTTCTAAACCCTTCACATATTGAGCTGAGTTTTAGTATGTGAGTCATCTATGTAGAGTTACAGATCGAGTTTTCGTTTAGTTCCGCTCCGCTGATTATTACCGAAATTACGGGCTTTGGACTTTGAAAATTTTAGTTATTCAGACTTATTTTTCTAATCGTCTTCACATATTGAGCTGCTTTTTAGTATGCGAGTCTACTACGATGATTTACAGATTAGTTTACATTTGGTTCGGCTGCGCTGATTTGTGCCAAAATTACGTGATTTGGAAATTTCGTGAACATATTAGTTTTACGGACTTTCATTTTCAAATTTCCACTCCTAAAAATGGATTGAAGCTTGCAAGCGGGGCCATTGGTGTCGTTCCGACACATCTAGTTTGCTATTTTTTGGGCTATCCGGAAGAATAGCCACTGCCTATTCTATATATATATATGAAGTTTATAATAACTTACTAGTTGAACGTTGCACTTTTTTATTGATTGATTTGAGTATATGAAACCTTATATAAAAAATTCCAGGAAGTAGGAGGTTAAATGTATTTTGTAATAGTTCAATTATGATTCTCCTTGGAAAATGCTTGTGTAAAAATCATGAATATAACGATCCATTTCTAACATGATGCTGCGAGTTTTTATTTTGATATAAATATTGGGTATATTATCATAAAAAGCAAATATATTCACGTCACAATGCCCCATAACGTGGGCAGTTTATCGAAATTAAAAAAAAATCATCTTCTATACTATATGTCAATCTTTACCTTTTCAATTAAGTGCATTTGTTATATTATATATGGCAATCTAACTTTGTAATCAGACAAGGAACATTAGTTTCCAGAAATACAAAAAATACCACAACATTTACATCAACATAATTAAGAATTCATTTTTTTAAATTTTTTTCAGACTGTAGGAGGATTTTGTTTATATTGTCCTTCACACTCCATTCATATATATCAACATTATATGGGCCATCTGTCAACCAAATCAATATCAATGTCATTTCAATGTAACTGCATAAATTATCAAATATCAATAATAAATATTAAAGAATCAAATATTACTCCTTTTTGTACCATGTGATAAAGATTTGGGACTTTCACGCAACACATTTCGTACGTATAGTTACAATTTAAACCTCTGATATGATCAACTTTCTGTTTACAGTAACATTATGGTTTCTATCGTTAAAGCAATCTTTCCGGTGTTTTTGATATGAATAAAGACTATTCGGTATTGCTTTATTCGTATATAATGTAAAATAAACTGTAACACCTCTTTCAATAGATAATATTCTCTCAGCTTTCATGATTTTATATTATACCACTGTCTTACTAATGTATTTTACTGAATTCATGTTGCCTCATATTTATCATATACATGTATATCTGTCATGTAATAGAAATTTATAATTATTCATGGATGCACTTTTTAAAATCCCAACAGGTGGTAAAAATTTTCAATCAAAATAGATGTAACATATGTGCTTTAACCATATATTTGGGAAACAATTCTTATTCAATTTTTCAGTGATCGAGGATGGCGAGGGAAATAATGGCCGCTGAAACGAAGCATTAATCGATAGACACGGGAAGGAAACCAACATCATGTCCTTCATATTTTCCGTGGTAAGACAAATTTTCAATTCTCTAATTAACTTTTATAGAACTATGTTTCTCCTTATTCTGATTTATTGTTAATTAGTGGATTTTATGTCTCTACCACGATCAATATTTCAGACTGTGGTTATCTCATCGTTGTGTTTTTATCAGCCGTGACATTTAAAAATTTCAGTGTTTTAGGGAAAACCATGATATTGTACTTGAGATGGAATCAATAAAGAGATGTCTAGTTAAATGAGGCGCTAACTATCTAAGGTTACACGTAAGGATTTTGATCAATACTAGAATCATAGTTCAATCAACAAGATATTGTCCATAGGGTTTAATGTTCGTGTAAAAATAACTTATATACATCCTAATAAAGAGCATGCAAGCTTTTAAATTACTTGAGGCAGAATACTCTGTGTCAGTTTGAACAAGCATTAGTAATCCATTTTAAAATTTGGATGTGAACTGTGTTACTCATTTCCCCAACATTACAGGTCCATTATGATTTTGTCTGCTGATAAAAAGTAGCGCCAGTTTCCATTTTGAGACTCGCTATCACATAAGTTGAAAATATTTTATTTACATGTATCTGTTATCTACAGATATATGAGGCTTTAAGTTGATTTAAAACCCTAATCAAAAACGAAAAAAACATCATTTCTAAAAAGTCTGTTATAAATGTGTAGAATCATTTTTATTCCTTTTATAACCTATGTATTTGGGTTTCCAAACCTTTGATGCCGAGTGTTCTGTGTATTTCGGTTTCCAATCCTTTGGTGCCGAGTGTACTGTGTATTTGGGTTTCCAATCCTTTGATGCCGAGTGTACTGTGTATTTGGGTTTCAAACCTTTAATGTTTAAAGGGTAATGCGTTTGGGGTTTCCAAACCTAATATGCTGAGTGAACTCATGTTTATTGGTTATATTTGAAATGTGCATTTGTGGTTCGTACTTAAAGGTGAGTGAGTGAGTTCTGGTGTTTAACGTCCTACACAACAACTTACTGCTCTAGGTAGGACGGTCAATGAAAGGATCATACATCTTACGTCTAAATCATGTGCTGCCTCGGTTGCCGAGTGGTCTAAGTACTTAGTATCAATAGAAAAAGTAGTCGAACTTCTGTATCACCAGCCTGTCAACACTGAGGTATTGAGTTCGAATCCCGCACGTGGTAGGTGCGCTCGAATCCAATCTTAATTGGCTAGGATTGTCAGATGTCGTACCGAAGGTCGGTGGTTCTCCCCGGGCACTCCGGCTTCCTCCACCAATAAAAACTGACCGCCATGAAATAACACAATAGTACTGAAAGTGGCGTTGAACATCAATCAATCAATCGATTTAAATCATGTTATTATATATCTTGTCTTTTTCTTTGATATCACCGAATACGACTTGTCAGAAGGATTTTTACAGCTTAGAGCAACTCGACTGAATGCAAATGGAGGAACCGTTCACGCTTCCGGAACATTTGACTTCACCGACTTCGTATCAATTTCGTATGAATTATTTTGTAGACTTTTATTTCTCTTTTGTCTTTGTCTAAAGTCATGGATGGTGTTGTTTGTCCTTTGACATTATTTGTATTGCCTTTCTCATTTTTTTATTATAAAATTCATGGAAAAGACAGAAAATGATCCAGACACACTACATATTTATAAAGATAAGTGTTCGCTCATGTACGTTTATCAAAAACGATGAATATAAGCTAAACTTTCTTATAGATGTTTAGTCGTTTTATTGTTTTACATTTAACTTAGCTGATTCAAAAACTAACAATTCTTGCCAAGTTTCGATACAATTGAAAGATTTAAATACACTGAACCAACATATGTAACTATATAGATAAAATGATGGCAATGGGAGACCAACCCTATCCCTTTTTATTATATTTATTAAATAACAGCTATTTTTTTTAAACACTATATCAAACTTAAATTATTAGAGTACCATTAAGTGGATATCTTCTCCCACATTTGTTTTCATTTAATTCAAAACAATTCATTTCAAATATCCTGTTACAAGTACCTTAGTAGCCCAGAAGAGCATACTTAGGGTCCCTGTCTTACAATCTCACTCCTGTCCTGCTTCCCTTATTTTTAGAACAGATGTAATTATATGTAATCTTATTTTTTTATTATGATGCATAATTTTATACCGAAAGTGATACGACACGACATTTTGTACCAAAAGTGACACAGCATTTAATATCGAAAGAGACACGACATTTTAATGAAAGTCACACGATATTTTACACCAAAAGTGATACGACACGACATTTTATAACGAAAGTGACACAACATTTAATACGGAACGTGGCACGACATTTTATATCCAAAGTAACACGGCATTTTATACCCAAAGTGACACGACTATTTATTCTAGTTTTGTCATTTCGATTAGTTAAAATTAACTGTGTTATATTTTTCCTATAGACATTGAATGGTAAGTGATGGGCTTTAATTACCAGCTGTCGTGTACTTCATTATTATGTAATTACCGCCTGTAATGATGGTTGTGAAAAATCAATTAGTCGATAATTTGATATTTTTCTCGTTATTTATTTTGCTCACATGTTGAAATTATCAAACACTTCAATTTGCAATGTCGATTGTGTGATTTTTCAGAATGTTTGATTCGCCATTTTATAACGGGAAAACATAACAGGCTGCCATTTTCCCGCCAATTTGATAAAATAATGTCTCAATACATCCTCATCAAACGGACCGCTACGGTAGAGATTACTTTGTGTTTTATAAAACCACTGTTTAAGATTGGGAAAAGGGGATATTAGAATGCACACAAGACATCATAACTACACATTACTAGTAAATAGCTTTTTTATATGAAAGAGACAGCCCTTTTCTCTGTTGTTCTTTATTCAGGGAGTAATTGGAAGGTGTAGGTATGGCAAACCAATGGGAGATAACTCCAAATTACCCAAAATAATTGTTCCCAGATGTGTGTGAAAATAAAATCTTTGGATGACCTCCGATTACGGCCTTCTATTAACTTGTTAAGTCTCACAAGGTTCTGATTGCTTTTGATAGATATCATATGAATATTCATGATTCTGTATATTATAATTTTCGGGAATACGATGAAATATTTGAGGTACAAACAAGGGTTTGAAAGTTACATTCGTTTCAAAAAAATACATGGGAACGTTATACAGCCATAAAATGTACTTTTTTATCAAGTTTAATGTATTAATTAAATAATTATGTCCAATAAATAAATCTAGATAGCTGTGTTCATATCAAAATTAATTTTTATAAATAACCCTACTTTTTGTTTATACATAGTTATTTCCCTTGCATGGACAACTTTTGGTTTAGTTTTGATTGGAAATCAGCGTAATAGTTTTTTTTTTTGCATTATACAGTCAATTTATTGCGATTTAAAGATAGTTTAACCATTTGCCATTGCACACGAGATAGTAAGGATACTGAATAATGTGGTTTTTCAGACTGTATTTTAACAGTACACTCTATAAAGATATTATTTTTTGTATACATATTTTTGTGTGTGTGTGTGTGATCACAATAACTGAGTTGTTGAAATTTTCCCCACATATATGTTCTAAATACACGCGTATAATTAAATAAGGGAACGTAACGGAAACTACAGCTATCTACACATACAGACTGTTAGATGATTATCAAGCCAAAAATTTGAGATAATACCGGAGATGGTAGGTCTCAAACCATGTTCGAAGTTCTGTTCAAGATTCGTTTTGCTTGTAGTTGCACCGGAAGTGCAATTTTTTAATATGATTTCAGCATGATCATGTATAGGAATACATGAACTAATCAAGTTTTACCTTGGAGCTTACCACTTTCTGTATTGATCAGTATTGAAGTAATTTCATGTCGAGAAAAAAAAACACTAGCGAACACCATGCAATTTAATATATACATGTATCCTGAAATAATAATTATATTATATCTGGGAAGCTAAAGTCTTACTAACAACTAATGCTTGATACAGTGAAACTAGTCTAAACCAAACCGGAAACCATGTTCTGAAGTCCCTTCATCTCAGATTCAATGCATTTTGAACTTCAGTCGTGAATGAGATTGGTTTACAGATTTTACTGTATAAATATTGTAACTGATATACAGATATGAATTTACTTAACTTTTTAATATACATACAAGTATTTACAGTGATCAGACATAATTATTTTTTTTTTAAATTTCTCAAATAAAAATAATGTTATATTTATTTTCATTGTTTTTCAGTGCAACAGGTATTTTAGACCTGTAGTATAATTGTTGGAAGGTTGTTGTTTATTTTTATTTATAAGCATTCACTATACATGCTATATAAGAATGATTATTTCATTAAATAGAATGTTAATGAAAAGGAACATTCTATAACTATCATGACTATCATATGTATATAAAGGGTAATTAATATTCACATTTATATTTTGTTTCTTTACATTCAAATGTTTATAAAGTTTTACTTTACATTTTCAATATACCGACTGATGTTCTGAAGAAAGGAATATATAAAGGTATCGTCATCTTATGTGACTTTGGACGATAGAATTTCATGAGAGTGGTTGACATTTTCATGCTTTATGCTTCTATTTTAATCAAAAAACTTAACATAGAGGATTGAAATTGACTAACAAGATGTAAAAGAAGCAATATAAACAAATCTATAACCCAAATGATTAAAAAAATGTATTTTATTATTTTTTAAAGAGAGGAAACAGTTTTTCTAGAAGAGTAAAAAATTACCATTTTGAAAATTTGCTATTTCTTCGTTGTTATTATGTGTATTGATAAAAGTGAAACTGTTTTGAAAATGTCTTTACAATGCCTTTAAAATGAGGTACAGTTTTCTTAGATTAGTTGTTTTTAAAAAAATCACTTTCCGTACCTAGAAGGTGGTCGAGTTCTCCCACCATACTCAAAATGTCACCTTAATTTTGAAACAGCGCAAATTACTGAAGTCAGTTGTTTTCCTCTCACAAAAGACGTTGTATCTTGATCTTAATGCATTTAATTATATTTTTTTCACTATTACAGTCAAAGAAGTGTTGTGAAAAACTTTACGAAATTTTCTGCTGTAAAGAGGTATGTTGCGAATGTTGTCAAGAGGAACGAAAGAAACTGAGAAAAAGTGACATTCAACATTCTTTCCGTGAATCGTCTACTCGACTCGATTCTACAAGTTCTTGTGCAGAGAGCCACAAAAGTTTCCGTGAACGTATAGAATCTGACAGTACGTCAAGGACTGATTCGGTATCGTCAGCATCTCAGATAAGTTGCGATTACAAGAAGGGCACTACCACTCCTATTATTGATATGAAGCCAATTGAGTTTTGGACGGCTAACAAAGAAAACGTCCAGCCACGACCAGGTCGCCGGCGATTACCGAGTGAAACCGAAATTACGGTGGAGAATTTCCAAAGAGATTTGTATGATGATGTCATAAATGAACCATGTTTAACAGATGAAGAAAAGCTGGCCAAATTTCAGCTTGGACAAATTCACATTGGCTTACAATATGACGTTGTGAATCGTTTCCTTGTTGTCAAAATAATTGAGGCAAAAGACTTGCCCTTACCTTTTATTCTCGATGACACTAAACAAGACCTGGCTCATTCGAATCCCTACTGTAAAGTAAGCTTGTTGCCAGATCAGAAAAATTCACAACAAACATCTGTTCAAAGAAAGACACAAAATCCAACATGGAATGAATACTTCATGTTTGAAATACCGTTCGGTGAAGTTCAAATGAGGACGCTAGAAATTCTTATAAAAGATTTTGATAAATTTTCTCGGCACTGTATCATTGGCCAAGTATATTTACCTCTAGGTGGCATGAACCTGATCAAAGGAGGACATATGTGGAAGCCAGTATTGCCAAGTACAAAGGTGAGTTTCTAAGGAATAATGTCGTCTTGTGTTTGCTGGACCTTTAAGTGTTAGTTATATTATATTTTATCAGCGTCGCCGACGGCGAAAGCAAGTCTAGTAACCGCTAAACTCTGTCCGTCCTATAGACTAGAGTTTGAGTAGAAATTTTTATCAAACTATTTTTGGTTTCTATGGACATCTCAAATAATTTGTCGACTGCTTCTGGTTAACATGCAACTTGATGAAAATAAAAAGGAAAAGGACCGAATTATTAAAAAACTTTTCATTTTAGTCGGTGGTTTTCTTTATTATATCTTTAAAATTTTTCTGGATAATTTTATGTTAAGGGAATATCTTTTATAGACTGTTGAATTAAATCATTACTTTTCTAGACTCCGGACAATTCACATAGCTTGACCCATGCTTATTGTTAAGGCTCGTGTAGTGACCTGTGGATGTCGATTTTTGTTTTGTCGCTGATTGCTGTCACTTGGCGTATACCCAACATCTCCATTTATTCATATTATTTCCAACAATTTCATAATTTATTAACTATATAAAATGACAAAAATTAAATTCGAAAGTATCACAACTAAACCTATCTTTACCGCTCGTGTTTATATTTCATAAAAAAGGTCATTACAATCAAGCAAAAACTCGCCACTGTACCAAACGTGAACCCCTAAGTCCCTGTAATTATTCACAGCTTTTAAGACTCTTGGCCATTTAGAGCTTGACATAATTTATATACTGCTGTTGATGAAAAGTGGTTATTGACCTTTACTTATAGATATATCTAATTTTATTCATGTAGGCCATGACGTACATGCATACAACATCCACGACATTATTGATCATTATTCCGATTTAAACAAAAGGTTAAATCTAAATCCGAAAATCATTAATATGCTAACTGTTGTCTAAAATATGAAATCACACCAGTCTTGCTTTACTAGAATGACGCTGTAAATAAAAAAAAATAAGATAAAAAGAATATCAACTCTGACTTAGAGGCTAATGCTGTATAATTTGAATTTATTGTTTAAATTAAGTCTGTCAATTGTAAAAACGATTTGTTCGTGTTTTTGTGAAAGCAGATGTCGTAAATTACCGTTCGATTATCATGCCTGAGCTTTTATTAGGTACAAATATATATTAACTATATATAAAATAGATTTAGAATGGTATTTTGATGAAACGTGTGTGTTGTAGTACTAATTGATCTAGGCTTAGATTGTTAATAACAGATTTAATTTCTCTTTAGATTCTAGCACAGCTGATCGTGCAAAAACAGTATTTGAATGGAAGTATCACACTATTTTATAGAAAAATATTATGAAACCTTGGCTAACGAAAGAGCTGTTGAGACCCACAATTTTTTAAAAAGTGTTTATGGCCCCGCAACAAAGTTGTCGGGGCCATATACGTCATTCCGTCATTCCGGAACGAACAGGTGTACGAACTTTTTTTCTCATTGCCTTTTACATATTGAGCGGATTTTTAGTATGTGAGTCTACTATTATGCGTTACAGATTGGGTTTAGGTTTGATTCCGCTCCGCTGATTTTTGACGAAATTACTGGCTTTGGACTTTGAAAATTTCATGAAAATAACATTTATAGGGACTTTTTTTCTAAACGCCTTCACATATTGAGCTGCTTTTTAGTATGTGAGTCTACTATGATGAGTTACCGATCAAGTTTACGTTTGGTTCCGCTCCATTGGTTTTTGCTGAAATTACGGACTTTGGACTTTGAAAATTTTGTGAAAACAGTTATACAGACTTTTTTTCTAAACGCCTTCACATATTGAGCTGATTTTTAGTGTGTAAGTTCACTATGCTGAGTTACAGATCGGGGTTACGTCTGGTTCCGCTTCACTGATTTGTGCCAAAATAACAGGCTTTTAACTTTGAAAATTTCATGAAAATAACAGTTATATACAGAATTTCATTCCTAATAATGGCTTCAAGCTTTTTTTGCGAGCGGGGCCATTCGTGTCGTTCCGATACATCTAGTTCTTTTAATTATCTTTTCCTCGAAAAAATCTAGTCCTATTCACGTCTTTGATATAATAAATTTTCCTGTTGACCGCACCTAATGTTTAGTATCTGCTCGAACTTTTATAAACGCTTTGGGTCACTACATACTTTTTCGTTTTCGCTTCTTTAAAAAAAACGAATATTCTTCACATCGTGATTAGCTGGTGAGTAACAATGTGAATGAGGGAAGAATCCAAGAAGGTTAAATTTTGAACCCCAAGCGAAAAAAAACATTTTATTTTCTTGTTCAATCATAATGTATTTTAATGAATGTCTTTTATACAAAACTAGTCGGATGAAAAATATTATGCTGCCAGAAACGACTTTCGTTACTGAACTGTCAATTAAAATTTCTTTCCTGAAACAACAATCTGTCTATTTTTTTTAAATGAATGAAAAGATGAGAACTTTTGTATTTTCAAGAAAATCATAAAAGGTGATTTTTTACAAAGGTACCTCATTTAATGTGAATGGTTCTGTATTTTGTCCACACGAAACATCTTACATTCAATATTTTCATCAGTGCGATGGTTCCAGGTTGAGGGGGTTTATGTTTGCTTCTACAAGACATTTCTTTTTGCAGTGGAAGTTATAATTTTCCGCCTTAATCCCTTCCTATCCTGCTGGACTTGCCCAATTAATTTTGTTCTCGTCTTAAATATGCATTTATGTCCTAAATCTGTACTTAGTGTCTTTTTGTTGTTTGGATGTACAAGTACCTGGCCACGTCCACTTGTATTTGTATTTTTATCCATCTGATGAGTTAAGCCTCTTTCAACTGATTTTTATAGTTCGTTCTTATGTTGTACTGTTACACCACTGTCCCAGGTTAGGGGGAGGGTTGGGATCCCGCTAACATGTTTAACCCCGCCACATTCTGTATGTATGTGCCTGTCCCAAGTCAGGAGCCTGTAATTCAGTGGTTGTCGTTTGTTTATGTGTTACATATTTGTTATTCGTTCATTTTTTGTACATAAATTAGTTAGTTTTCTCGTTTGAATTGTTTTACATTGTCATTTCGGGGCCTTTTATAGCTGACTGTGCGGTATGGACTTTGCTCATTGTTGAAGGCCTTACGGTGACCTATAGTTGTTAATTTCTGTGTCATTTGGTCTCTTGTGGAGAGTTGTCTCATTGGCAATCATACCACATCTTCTTTTTTATATAAAACAGTTGGCATTGGAGGTGAAATAGATAACCACCACTGGTCATTTGACTTGGGTTTCTTTTATCATTAAAACATAAAACTTTTTTAATGTGGTTTCGAGGAAATTATTATTGACGACTCAAACCTAAATTTAAAAAAAAATTATGTCTATTATAAACTTGTTAGTCGTTTTTACGAATACCTTCATGTATTTTATGAACATTAATTAATTAATTGGTTCTGTTTAATCGTTGCTAGTGTTCTACAAAATACACGTGATATCGATCAGTAAGTGGTCAAAAGTTCATTCATGTTTGTAAATGTAATAAACTATAATCCATTAAACACGATGATATCAGGTGACTTGTAATTTTTAACATGACCGATTTTTACATAAACTGTATGCTTTCACTGTTCACGCGAGACTCGCTATATGAAAAAAAAACAAAACCATCACCACAATTAATTGAAAATACAGGCCAATGAAAGCGGTGCTCACTTTTTAATTCAATACACTTTCTGTTGTATAAAATACGCGATAACCCATTGATATAGTGTTACAAACAAGTCTCGGCTTCTTTTTTCAAAGAAAGTAGACTTATTTACTCTGTAGATTTTTTTTTCTTTTTTGGGTGTGACTGTCTTGAATGCCCAACAATTAGTTACGACTCTTTAATATCCCCAACTTGCTTTGTACGTATTCGTCTAATGATTGAACAAATAATATCCCAGATTAACCCATTTACAGTTGTACATGTGGAAGGTTAACAGTTCAATTCATTTACACTTTGCAACCTTTGCCGTTTATCGATAAATGAATACTTTCAAGTGCAATTTTATTCAGTTTAAAGTAATAAAAAAAACGATACTTGAATTGTATGAAAAATTAGATGACACCAAAAGGGAATAAAAAAACATAAGCCGAAGATCAAAATAAATAAAAGATAAACAGCAATCAAATAACACTACAATATAAACATCATGTACCTATCCAAATTCGGGAGGTGACCTCATGTGCCCAGGAGGATAAGCAGCTCCTTGTCCGCTAGTGGTACCCATTATGTTGTTATTGACATGTTAAATTGGTTTGATAAGTCACATTCGTTAATGTCTTAATACAGTAAAGTAGAAGTGGATTATGGGTTACATAAATAAAGATATTCGCGGTCATCTGGGACACAGATATTCCATAATTATCTTTCAAAGCATGATGGTATAGGTAAAACTTTCGAAAATATAACATCAACTATACCATGAAAAAAGTCATTGGTTCAATTGCCAACTGCCTTGTAAATAGAAAACCTTTATCAATGCAGTGCTGATAGAAAACACAAGCTCTAAAATGTAATATTAACGAGGAGATAGATATGTACCCCATGTGCAGGTGCTGCTCGAGTATTGTTGCATAACAATGAAACGTTAAGAAGTCTTTTTTTTTCGTAAAGTTTAGTTCTCAACCGATCCTAAATTTCAATTTATATGTGTAAAATTTAAATAACTCTTTATAAATTTGGTGTTTCTGAAGCGCTTTTCTGGATTTATCTTCACCAGGAACGCTTAAACATTGAAAGCCAGGGGTGTGTAAATTCCCGAATACGTGAAGAGCTATTTGACCAAAAATGACATAAAAAGAATAGTAAAATTCGTTTAAGATCAACTTCGCACGAGGGAAGATCTAGTTTCTAAATCGACCAACGGAGAATATATTAAAAGTATACTCTATGTCAAACAGTACCAGAATACAAACTACAGAGCTGAGTAACGCTCAAGGACTAGCAGCCAACTAGTAGCGTAGAAAATAAAAATAAGACTTTAGCCGTTAGTTTTCTCGTTTGAATTGTTTAATATTTGTCATTTCGGGGCCTTTTATAGCTGACCATGCAGTATGGGTTTTACTCATTGTTGAAGGCCGTACGGTGACCTATAGTTGTTAATTTCTGTGTCATTTGGTCTCTTGTGGAGAGTTGTCGCATTGACAATCATACCACATCTTCTTATTTTTATATTTAAGAATGTGGTGTGTCCGAAGAATTTTTCTGGATTACTGGAAGTCAGGATATTCATTTCATGTTAAAATATTTTTAATTTGTTATAGGAAAGAATGGACTTAGGAGAGATTTTGTTATCTCTAAACTATTTACCTAGTGCTGGACGTTTAAATGTAGACATCATTAAAGCCAAACAACTTCTACAAACAGATATGATAGGAGGTTCAGGTAAGTAACAAACTGATAAATACTGTATAATAATGCAGATTCAAAGGGTGTATTTAACAGTAAAAAGTAGTAGTGGGTTTAAATCAACCATGTTTTCAAACAGACTAGTGATTGAAGGAAACAAAGTGAAAATAGCACATTTTATAAATTTTGTGCGTCTAAAGCGCTTTTTTATTTACTTTCAACAGTAAAAGTGGCATTTTATAGGCACACTCTGACATAGTCTGACATTCTGCTGATTGACATACCATGGAAGTTATACAATGTCACATATCATTGAATTATACAGTTTGACATACGATGGATGTTATACACTCCAACATACCCTGAATGGTATACACTCTGGCCTACACTATGTTTCATAGTCTGAATACACTGGATGTTATACAGTTTGACATACCCTGGATATTATACCAGTCTGACATACACTGAGTGTTATACAGTCCGCAATACACTTGGCGTTATATACTCTGACATACCCTGAATGGTATACCAGTGTGACATACACTGGATGTTTAATTAGTGTGACATACCCTGAATGTTATACAGTCTGACATACTCTGGATGTTACACTCCATCATAACCTGAATATTATACAGTCTAAAATAGAGTGGGTGTTTAACAGTCTGACATACCCTGGATGGTATACACTCTTTACATACACTGAGTGTTATACAGTCTGCATACTCTGGATGTTAAACCGGTGTGACATACCCTGGATTTTATAGTTTGCAATAACCCTGGATGTAATAGTTTGACAAATCCTGGATGTAATTCAGTCTGACATCCCCTGGATGGTATACAGTCTGACATACACTAGGTGTTATACAGTCTGACGTACCTTGAATGTTACAGTCTGGCATACACTGGATGTTATACAAGCTGACATAACCTGGATGTAAAACAGTCTGACATACACTGGGTGTTATACAGGTTGGCATACCCTGGATGTTATTCAGTTTGACATAAACTGGATGTAATAAGGTCTGGCATACAGTGGGTGTTATACAGTTTAACATTTCCTGGATGTTATACAGTCTGACATACAGTGGGTGTTATACAGGCTAACATATCCTGTTCTACAGTCTGACATACAGTTGGCGATATTCACTCTGACATACACTGGGTGTGATAATGTATAGCATACTCTAGATGTTGAATAGTCTGACACACACGTGGTGTTATACAGTCTGACAAACCCTGGATGTTATGCAGTCTGACATATCCTAGATGTTATACCAGTCTGACACAGTGGGTGTTATATTGTCTGACACACCCTGTATGTTAAAATCTGACATTCCTTGTATGTTATAGTCTGACAAACCCTGAATGTTATACTAGTACCCGTATGACATACATTGGGTGTTATACAGTCTTGCATACCCAAGAAGTAAAACAGACTTGTGTTTTAGGACAAGACCAAATTAACAATACAATAGATATGACCTGCAAAGTGGTCGACCGACATAAAGGGTAGATTATTTAGACTGTTACAGGGGAAAGTAGTTATGTTGGATAGGGGCAGCTATTTTGCCTTGCAACAATCCACATACGAGTCCCTCAAATGTTTCATTAAAGTGGAGAGAGCGTTCTTTAAACCATATGACCGTATTTCTATTCATTAGTCAACCCTTGGGCTTTTGAATAGATGACAAAGAAATTTAACAATAGATGAATATTTAAATTTGACAAATTGGGTCAACGGGGTGAAGGGAGGAAAATGTGGACTGTTTCTTAAAAAAGAGGGCGTTTTTTTTGTATTGGCAGGATTTTTTTAATGAGCTGTTAAAAGGTTATAAACGTACACAAAAGATGGCAGGCACTCTTCTAACTTTGGGGATAGGATTCCATTTAATGATTTGCAACGAATATATTTATAAGTATTACTTTTGTGATGATAAACATATTTATATTCTTTACTTATACATGGATTTATTGTATAAATAATTTAGTAGTACTTCACCGGAAAAGTACATGTGCAAAAGTATGACTGCTTATCAATTCAAAAAACTTTGGTTCGGTCTCTGATTTAAATCTGTTTTCAAAGTTTAGATATGAGTTTTGTTCTTGCAATGATAAAAAAGCAATATGAGTGATTACAAGATTTTTAACCAATATTAATCATCCACCGTAGAAAAAAACTTGTCCGTTCAAAACAAAACCTTGCAGACAAGCAACAGAGAACTAGATGAGTGATAACAACCAGAATATTTTGGTACAAAATGCTAAAGAACGGTTTTGCTTTTTATTAATATGTCAGTAACATTTTCAATACATGTATTTGCATAGAAATCTTTCACAGTGAATGTAAATGTTATAAATCAAATTTACTTGTGTATTTTTTCAGATCCAATTGTCAAAATTACCTTGGTGCACTTTGAGAAGCCAATCAAGACAAAGAAGACATCATGTAAAAAGAATACCATTGATCCCATTTTCAATGAATCTGTCAGTTTTAATGTTACACAACAACAGTTAGAAAACACAACAGTTGTTATAACTGTCTGGGATCACAACTCTAAAACAAAGGACGATTTTGTAGGTCGTATTTCTCTAGGAAAATACGGAACAGGACCTCATGAATACACTCACTGGAAACGCATGTTAAACTCACAGAGGTCTCCAGTGGCGCAGTGGCATTCACTGCGCACGCGTATAGAGTGTGATCAAGTGTCACCTGCCTCGATTGCAGTTCAATGACACGTTCGACAATCATTTACTTAATGTGCGAAATAACTCATCATATCATTTTATAAAATGCTGATTGATAAAATTGATCAGACAATTTTGAAAGAAGACACATAATTTGTCAGATAAATGAAAGACAATATATGAATAAGAATATCTGTAAAGTGATATTCAATAGCATGAACCTGTTGAGAAATTTGACATTTATTTCAGATATCTTTTTGTTGACAAATGTATGATATAACCTTGTTATAATTGTTAATAAAGATGAGAGTTGTTGCTCTGAGAATTTATTGAAGAAATAAATCGAGCTAAATTGAATTAAATAATGATTAAAACATCTGGACAATTATAAGGACCAAAGGGTAAAATAATAACAAAAAGAAACCATACTCGCAATACACATGAATTGAAACCTGGGGTTCTAAGAAAGTTGAAATTAAAAGAAAAAACAAATGTTTGGGGTTGAAAAATATAAGGATTAAACGTATTTGTTTCTAGAGGTGACCGGTAGAAGAAGTGGACCATACATTTTTTAAAGAGTCTTTTGAAAAGAAGTAAATTGATTAGAATTGTACCATTTGTTAATTTTACGAAAACAAAAAATGTCACTTAAGGAAAAGGGTACAATATTTATTTAAAATAATTAGCATGGAAACCAAACACATACATCAACTGCTCTCAGGAATATGGCAACTTATAGGGATCATAAGCTATTTTATTCTGAACTGATTTAGAATGGTTGGTTGTTGTTCTGGTCTGAGTTATGAATAATTGGTTGTTGCTCCGATCTGATTAAGGATGATTGGTTGTTGTTCCGATCTGATTTGAGATGATTGGTTGTTGCTACGATCTGATTTGAGACGGTTGGTTGTTGTTCTGCTCTGATTTAGGATGATTGGTACTTGTTCCGATCTGATTTGAGATGATTGGTTGTTGCTCCGATCTGATTAAGGATAATTAGCTTTTGTTCCGATCTGATTTGAGATGATTAGTTGTTGTTCCGCTCTGATTTGAGACGGTTGGTTGTTGTTCTGCTCTGATTTAGGATGATTGGTACTTGTTCCGATCTGATTTGAGATGATTGGTTGTTGCTCCGATCTGATTAAGGATGATTGGTTTTTGTTCCGATCTGATTTGAGATGATTGGTTGTTGCTCCGATCTGATTAAGGATAATTGGCTTTTGTTCCTATCTGATTTGAGATGATTAGTTGTTGTTCCGCTCTGATTTGAGACGGTTGGTTGTTGTTCTGCTCTGATTTAGGATGATTGGTACTTGTTCCGATCTGTTTTGAGATGATTGGTTGTTGCTCTGATCTGATTAAGGATAATTGGTTGTTGCTCTGATCTGATTAAGGATGATTGGTTTTTGTTCCGATCTGATTTGAGATGATTGGTTGTTGTTCTGCTCTGATTAAGGATGATTGGTCTTTGTTCCGATCAGATTTGAGATGATTGGTTGTTGCTCAGATCTGATTAAGGATGATTGGTTTTTGTTCCGATCTGATTTGAGATGGTTGGTTGTTGTTCTGCTCTGATTTAGGATGATTGGTTGTTGTTCCAATCTGATTTGAGTTGATAAGTTGTTGCTCTGATCTAATGTGGATGATTTGTTGTTGTTCTGGTCTGGGCTAAGATGGTTGGTTGTTGTTCTGGTCTGGTTTAGGATGGCTGGTTGTTCTTGTCGGATACAGGATGTTTGGTTGCTGTTTTGATCTAATTTAAGATGATTGGTTGTTGTTCTGATATAATTTGAGATAAGTGGTTGTTGTTCTGGTCCGAGTAAGGATGATTGGTTGTTGTTCTTATCTAATTAAAGATCATTGATCGTTGTTCTGATTTAATTTAAGATGACTGGTTGTTGTTCTGATCTGGTTTGTGATGATTGGTTGTTGTTCTGGTATGATTTAGGATGCATGGTTGTTGTTCTCATCTAATTTAAGAACGATGGTGTGTTGTTTTAATCTAATTGTAAGATTTGGTCGTTGTTCTCATCTAATTTTAGATGATTGATTGGTTGTTGTTCTGGTATGATTTAGGATGCATGGTTGTTGTTCTCATCTAATTTAAGACGATTGGTTGTTGTTTTAATTCAATTGTAAGATAATTGGTCGTTGTTCTCTTCTAATTTTAGATGATTGGTTGTTGTTCTGATATGATTAGAATACCTGGCTGTTGTTCTGATCTCATTTAAGATGACTGTTTGTTGTTCTGATTTGGTTTAGGATGGTTAGTTGTTCTGGTCGCCTATAGAAAGATTGGTTGTTCTTATCTAATTTAAGATAATTGATTGTTGTTCTGATATGGTTTAGGATGGTTAGTTGTTCTGGTCGCATATAGATAGATTGGTCGTTCTGGTCTAATTTAAGATGATTGTTTGTTGTTCTGATCTAATTTAAGATAGATTGCTGTTATTCTGATTTAATGTATCAATGAGATAACTGACTGTTGTTCTGGTCTCATTTAGGGTGATTGGCTATTGTTATGATGTTATTTAGGATAATTGGCTGTTGTGGTTTTATCTAGTGTTATTTGCTGATATTTTTGCCTCAATCAGGATGATCTGTTTTTGTTTTGATCTGATTTAAGATGATTGGCTTTTGTTTTAGATCTGATTTAGGATCATTGGTTGTTACTCCGGTCTTAATCAGGATGAAAGGCTTTTGTTCTGATAATTCTCCAGGATGATTATTTTTTTTATGTTGATTTTATTATTTCATTCAAGATAGATAGCGGCTATCTTAGATTGAATTAGAAGGATTAGATGTTGTTCTGGACTGATTTGAAATGTTTGGCTATTGTTCTGGTCTCATTCCGAATAATTGGCTACTAGTATTGTTCTGGTCTCATTCCGAATGATTGGCTACTAGTATTGTTCTGGTCTCATTCCGAATGATTGGCTACTAGTATTGTTCTACTCTCGTTTACTATGATATGCAGTTGTTCTGGTCATTTTCTCAAAAACAAAATGAAAATGCATTTTTCCAAGTCTTTTAATTTCAATTTCATTTTCAGATATATTGATGATGTCCAGAACGACTGAAATCGAAATTACATAAATTTTACGAACATGAATTAGTTAAACGATACGATGTGTCTGTGTCTCAACTTACTGGTGGCATGTTTCCGAAGTCTTAGATATTCTGATGACAGAATAGTTGTCACAGCTGTACAGTCCTCTTATTTATTATGACATTTTCACTGAGTGATTATCAAAATATACTAAAATTAGTGAAAGTTCTGTAACAACCTTTGTTTAATCAAGGATAAAAACATACGAAGATTATGGGGAAAGTGGGAGGGGTACATCGTAAGATGAAGAAGGACAGTTAAACACAGTAGAACAAAGACGAAAAGACAAACAGTTGTGTTCACAAAACTTTATAGACTGGAGTATAGAAGTACGGTTATCTGACAGTAAAACATATGTCAGAGGGGTGCTTCCGCTTGGTTGTGCGGGATGTATGAATACGCAGTCACGTGTTGTCATAATGAGGAGGTTAAATCTAATGCCTCATTTAGTGAGAGTGTAACGCTTTCATATTGATACAAAAACCTTGCAACAACTCTTTGAGCGGTCCTTAGGTGACCTGTTGCAAGGGAAAATATCTGCTCTGATCAAAGAAACCTCATTTTCAAGTAGGAGTGTAAAGTCCGTGCCTTTCATCGCGGTCGATCTACATTACAGAACCTAACAATTGAGCTAGTTGTTTATTTGTTTAAGTTCTGAAAAAGAGTGAAATACTTACCACTTAACGTTAACAAACAACGGCAATCAATCATAATTTCCTGCAAAAACTTCATATTTGGGATACATGAAGACCATTATATATCTTTAATGAACTAACGTGGTTTTGCTCCATTCATGACATCAGTCAGTCGTTCTGTTCATAACAGGTTAAAAATATTCTTCGATTATTTCCCTTCACTCACGATTTAAATGTTTATACTAGCCTCGATTTTCTAACCATCTTATGCAAAGAAAGGATATTAAAGTCAATTTTAAGTTTTAGTATAAAACCTTTTGCAAGTTTATAATAGACAAACATAATTACTTATTACTTTGTGCTCATAGTTATTTTTAAATTATGATAGATAACAAATATTGATACCAAAGCAGGACTTAGATTTGCACATCAAATTTTTATGCGAAATGTGGAACAATATTTTTGAAAAGTGCTGAACTAATTGTATCACAGGAAGTTTTACTCTGCTGTGTCAGGTTAGCTCAATTACATTTTCCATCCATGAAAAGTAACATCCATAACAACGATCAAACCCATGTTTACCTTAAATAAAAGGTGTGTTAACAAAGATCACTTTACATTAAAGCATGAAGTCTTTAGCATGAGTAGATAAAAATTTTATGAAACGTTTTCTGGTCAAATCTTTATTTGTCTGTATGCATGTTCATTTTATTAGTTCAATATTTTTCTCTTTTTCTTTAATCCATTCTTTTAATTTTTCTTTCCATGAATATAAATATGAGTCGGTGTGGTATGATTGCCAAATGAGGCAACTATCCACAGAGACCACAGGGCAAGTGTGTAAACACCTGCAAGTCACTATACGGGCTTCGACAATGATCAAAACCCATACCGTATAGCAAGCTTCAAAAGGTCCTATTGGAAATAATTCAATAAAGAAAACTAACGCTTGATTTATGAAACAAACAAAAACTAACAAATAATGAAGACTGATAATGAGATGAAAAGCAACCAACAACAACCACTGGATTACGGCTCTTGACTTGAGATATGAACAAACAGAATATGACGGGATAACATGTTTGTGAGCGCTCAACTCTCACTTTAAGCTTGGACAGTGGTGTAACGTAACAGCACGACATAAGAAAACAAAATGTAAAAAAAATAGTTTGAAAAGGCTTGGTTTATCAGATCGTTAATTTGCACAAAACCGCAATAATAAACAAAAAGACAAAAGACACAAAGTACCGATCTAACAGTACTCGCAGTTACTGAAAGCTATTTCAAATCCCATTTTTACTAATAAATAAGCCATGGTTTCCCAGAGAAAAATATCAATCAATACATCTCCAAATGATTTAGGAAGATTAAAAGCAGTCTGAGAAAAAAGTGACCATGATTATGCAATACCAAAATATAAGTATTGAAAGGATGTAGTGCCGTGCCATAAGCACTTAAAACTAGATAGCAGTACATGTTTAGTTATGTATTATACTATAAAATATAACATCAGTATTAGGATCGATAAAGGCAACATTCAAAGATCTTACTTCAATGTTAAATTGATTTCC